GAGAGAGAGAGAGAGAGAGAGAGAAAGAGAGAGAGAGAAAAGGAAAGAAAAAGATGAAAGAGAGATATAAGGGTTGAGAGAGAGAAATTAAGAGAGAGAACAGAGGAAAAGGGATTGCATTGAACTTTTTACAATTGGCAGAGATGATATAAAGAACACAGTCAAGGCCTTTTCAAAAATGCGTTACGATAACTTAAAACAAATTCAACATCTAACAGTACCGGTAAGCCTACTGAAATACATATTAACTCTTCGATCAACTGACTTTTCTCTGGCATCTGGACTTTTGGAAGAGCTGAAGCCGGGATCCTGCGTTGACCGCGTGGGACTTGAAGGCACCGACATTTTGCCCCTAGTGCAGTTATCTCACCTCTCAAGGTACAAGGGTTAAAATTACTGCGATCACATCAAAACTCTGAGAAAGAAAAAGACCATATACTTTCTTCCAATGTATTGAATACAAAGTGATTAACAAATCTTTTCAAACAGGGTTTAAAAATCACTAGATTTTACAAAATAACAGCTCAGTGTAGACTCTGTCATTATTGTCACTTTTCAATACATTATTATAAGTCTTATTATAAGCTGTCCAAATGAGTAATAATAGATTTTAGTCATAATTTGATAATGATTGCATTTATATGCACATAGGTGTTTTTCATGCCCCTACTGACACAACTTAAGATCATTCAGGAGGTGAACTTCTGACTCTGCCTGTCAGGGCCAACCCAGGCTGACAGACGCAACATCCCCGCAGTAGGGCTGACATGCTCGATAAAAATTTCTCCCCACTCGGGTGTTGATCTCAGGTCTTCTTTGTAGAAAAGTGAAGCACCACAAACACCAGTTAAACGTCTTTATCTAAACTTGCCACATCTAAACTGTTTTATTAAGAATAGTAGCGTTTAAAGAGGACAATTTAATGTGGAATTTTTATTTGAAAAGAATTGAAATCACATGCAAACGAAAAATGTGTCACGACACGGGTGGAATCAGGCACACCTCACTATTTGGACTTGTGGAGTTACTGGTACCATTTCAAAGGTTGTTCATATTATATATTTGTCTTACTTTCTGTGAAAAAAATACTCATATATAATAGAAAGACGTTGAGATATTTGCCATTGAAGGATCAGGTGGGGGTCGCAGTTTCAGAGGTAAAATTAGCGAGAAAATGGCTATGCCAAGTAGGCTACATGTGGTGACTTCCAAAGATTGAGAGTCCTGAAAAAAGTTACTGCGAATATACATTTTTGTGTCTTAAATCAACATTTTTTCTGTAAATTCCACACAGAAATGCGTTTTGAAATGGACCTTCATAAGGTTGAGTCAAAAGCAAAAATTTGATAACAATTGCCATATGGACAGAAAAATGCCAGTTCGATTTGATTATTTTGACGTGTGCCTGATTTCACCATGATGCCTCACATGAACTAATTTTACAGAAATTTACATTATCCATGCTCTGGAGAGCCCTTATAGATCTATATAAAAATTAACATCATTTGGATGAGTACGTTTGAAACTATATATCTGCGCAGAGACCATGCATGACGTCCTTGACATCATAACAAATGAGCCAGTTTTATCAGTAGGCAAAAACTTACACTAAATTTCTAAAACCCTCATTTGTCTCACACAGCTATCACAAATCAGGATATAGATTCTAGATCTAAAAGGAAATTTAACTCCAGCTTGAAAAAAACAATTATTGCAATGTTCAGTTGAATCTGTTTCACTTAATCCACAGTCTCTATAGCTAGGGTTTGGCTCACCCAGATTCTAGCACCAACCTGCAGAGAGTCAAAATTAAAACGAAACATGTGACGAGAGATTTTATTTATTAAATAGCATACTCTACGTCGTACTGTACTCTAGTCTATGATCTGGACCTAAATCTAGACAAACAGAAGCAGTGGTTGCACCAACCATACTTTTCTAACCTGCGTTTATTTTGTTCACTTTAACTTTGTCATTTAGATCTAGATCTAGATCTAGGCCTTTCATCAGTGTGGGCATAAACTTTATTATAGTCCTACTACATAGTCATAGTATTAGATCGAGATAATCTAGCTGCTACAAACTTAACAAGATTACAAGATGATGACTGATGGGTATGATAAATAAGTAGAATTTCCACGAGACGTATGCACTGCCAATGGGCACTTTATAAGTCCCTAACATCAACATATGAGTATACTATTTGTGTTCACTTCATGGGTTTAAGCTCCTTACCGTAAAAAGACCATAAAATAAACAGGAAATCAGTGTAATCCAACAACAAGAAAGACCGCCATATTGACGCTCAAGTTGCCAGGGGAGAAAAAGATATTTTTAGAGTACATCTAAAAAGTATTCCCGAAGAAGGAGACGGGAGAGAACACGAATGATTCCGAAACAATAGAAAGTTGCGCGCCAGGCCTGGGAAACGAGCGATAAACCGGTAAGGATGTCACACCTGACCTTAGGCTATCTTAGTACATGTATCTAAAATAGCCTAGATCTGACGGAATCTAAAAGACTGTTTTCTACATCTGTTCGAATGAGCATTGTCAAAGTTTACCAAGAAGATTTAGGTCTAGATAGATCGATCTAAGCGAGGTGATCTTGCCATCGACTCAGCCACTCTCACTTTGTTTACTATAGATCTACATAATTTATACATTGTATACTCTTACAAACACTCAGAAAATAACATACACACCATTCTCACACATGCACAGAGAGAGAGAGAGAGAGAGAGAGAGAGAGAGAGAGAGAGAGAGAGAGAGAGAGAGAGAGAGAGAGAGAGAGAGAGAGAGAGCACGCACACACGCATGTACAACTACAATACACAAACACACACGCACGCACGCGCACGCGCACACACACACACACACACACACACACACACACACACACACACACACACACACACACACACAGTGGCGTCTCCAAGCGCAAATGGCGCCATGGCGCCCTTTAGAGTGAAGGAGGGTTGCTTCAACCTTACCTGTCAGGGTCAACCCGGGCTGAGAAATACAAGTCAAATTCCCTGTAGACTGAGGTGATACTAGATATTTTTTTTTAATCCACATGGAAATCAAGCTCATATCTTGTGAGAGATGCAATTAAACTGCTAGCACTAGCAGACAGGCAGATGAAATACTAGATTTGAAATACATCTCAGCACGAGATTCGAACTCATTTCTTCTGCCTGCCCCCCCCCTCTCTCTCTCTCTCTCTCTCTCTCTCTCTCTCTCTCTCTCTCTCTCTCTCTCTCTCTCTCTCTCTCTCTCTCTCTCTCTCTCTCTCTCTCTCTCTCTCTCCCTTTATTTTTAACTCCCAGTGCAGCATTGGCCATCAAAAAAATTTATCCAGCGAAGCCTGTCTTGTGCATCCTTTTCTAGCTGTTTCCATGATGTCCCCGCCTTTTCCATTTCCGAATGTACCGCTCGTCTCCATATCCTCTTTGGTCTTCCTATCTTACGTTTTCCTTGCGGATTCCACGTCAAAGCCTGGCTGATGATGCTTGTCGGGGGTCTCCTCAGGATGTGCCCTATCCATTTCCATTTCTTCACCTGTATGTCTTCCTTTACTGGCCTTTGGCTTGTTCTTTCCCACGGTTGAGAATTTGTGACTTGATTGCACCACTTCATCCCCACTATCCTTCTTAAACATCCATTTAATGAAGCTCTGCAGTTTATTTGCTGCTGATGCTGTGAGCCTCCACATCTCTGAACCACACAGTAGAACAGTCTTCACGTTTGTTTTGAAGATCCTCAGCTTGACTTGGTGTTCAATCCCAATTTTTAGACATCCATATTATATTCCTGAGGACGATAAATGTTGCTCTTGTCTTTTGGATTCAGACCTTGATGTCTTCGTCTGTTCCCCCTGCTTTGTTGATGACACTTCTCAGGTAGGTGAAGGATTCAGCATCTGCCAATGGTGTCCCTTGCAGTGCGATAGGAACGTCGTCTGCCTGCCACAGACACCACATATATAGCGTGTTAAACTCAGATTTTCTGTTTAGCTTTGGTAAGAGTTTTACAGCACTTGCAAAACAATTAAATAGGTAATAAAAATGTGGACGATTGTATAAAAAACAGGTACACAGAAATGTTAAATTTTCACCCAAAAATGTGATTTTCTTGCGCGGTGGTCTTAAATTCTTACTGAGTTCAATTTTTTTTTTTCATTTCCAAAGAAAACTATTTAAAGATCTAGCCCTCAGATTCGCTGTGAGGAGAAAACACTATAATAGGACTACTTAATGTGTATTTTGAAAATATTGTATAAATATATTTGTTAAAACGGCATACGCCCGCCAGCACACCTTACTAACACAGCCAGGGATTTTTCAGCGCAAACAGCGGTCTTCATGTCCTCCATGGTGCTGTTTTTGTAAACGGAGGACTCGAAGTAGTAATAATGATGATAATGATAATTTTTTTTAAATTCATATAATAATAATAAAAATAATGATAATAATAATAATAATAATAATAATAATAATAATAATAATAATAATATATATTATTGATAACATTGGTAGGCCCTATAGCGCAAATTCCTGCTCAATAGCAAGCTGTATGTCCTTTACAATCTATACTATCTCCTCGGTGTGTTGTTGCTTCGGCAAAATAAATAAATAAATACATAAATAAATAATAGATCTAGATCCAATTATTTCGGGCGCTCAATCAATGGACGAAAACGGATCTCATGTCAGGTCATCTAGATCTAGATCTATGCTGAATTTTTTAGCTAAGCTAGCAGGTTTCTTGATAAAACTGGCGAAACAGACAAATCTGGCTTAAACAATAATAATACAGTTTGTATATTCATTATTAATGTAAAAATGCAACATTGTACCTCTACGTTGGAAAACTCATTTCATTCTATCTAATTTGAAACCACAGAATTCTACCCCTAGATCTAGATTTATGTGTAGAATTCTGTGTTTGAAATTGATTCAAAATGTCAAAATGATTTTTTGAGAAATACTGAAAGTTTTAAAGAGATCTTCGCACTAGAAGTATTCTAAAATGTGAAGAATACAACCCCGGGGGTACAAAATGACATGCAGACCCCGTTCGTTTAATTGGGGGACATCACTGTTACGAACACTAGTACATGTACTAAATATAACCCCTTTGACTTAGGGCCTACTCTAAGCAGTTCTCAATCTCACCCCCACCCCCTATCTTGCTTGGCAGGACGAGGATAAGCTGTGTCAACAGGCCTATGTAACTCCAATTCACCCCTGTAGAATGTATTTACACTGCGGTATATTGAAAGTGGGTAAAAAATAAACCCCGTTAGGTTTTCGGGGCTCTTGTCTTAGTTCTTAGCCCGTTATTCATTTTAGAAGACAAATTTCCCAGCGCTTGTGATAGGTGCATATTCCATCTGAGGTGAAGTTCTGACGCTTTATTAATGAGCATGGGTGTGGGGATCTAAAGCTTGTGAATGGGAAGGGAAGTTGGAGTTTGCAAAACGTTAGACATTCTTGTTTTTACTTCACCAGGTTAAAACAATCGGACAAGGACTGCCCCTGGATATCTTTTCAATCATCGTGCAGAATGTAAACTTTATTATTATTATTACTTAAAAAAAAAACAACAACATGAAATACAGTGAAAACCTTGAATCCCACTTCGCTACGGTCCCGCTGGTGCAACTTTTCAGAGAAAGCTTCAGAGTGGTTCTATTTTCGGGAGCATCAATGCTCTGCCTTCCTTGTGCAATCTTGAATTGAAAATAGCTTTAGCCGTATGTTTAAAATTTGGACCAAATATCCCTCCCAATACCCATCGAACCTCAATTTATTTAATATTATTATATTATATTGTACCATATATAATAATACGAAGTCTTTGATGAACGTTGATTGTCATGCCCGTCTATCTGGCAAATCTCCCCCCCCCCCCCCCCCAATCGCATCGGGTTCCCTGCATAATAAATAATTCCAGCTTCCGGTTCCTGCTTTCTTTCCCTCCCTGAATAAGTGAAGGCTCAAGTCGGCACAAGCCAAATCTTAACTTTTAAGCTGCCCCACGTGCACAAGCCGAATGATTTCTACATTATTTTGGCTTATGGTGTGAATGATTTGCATGCCATATTGCTAGATTTCTTTTTAAAAGTTTTGCCATGTTTGCTGCCAGAATGACGACATGGTATTGTTGTACTGTCGGCTTCTTTTTGACTCTCGGCTTGGGTCTCGTTCCAGTTGTCGTCGGCGATGGAGAGGGACAAGAGGCAAACTTCTGCCAATCACGTTCACAGGTTGAATTCCGTTATTTGAAATGCCTTGGTTGGAATTGTGAATTTGTAATTGTAAAGTTGTTACAGTTGTAGATCGAATAATCACTTGGTGTATTGCTAGGCCTAAAGTCTAGATCTCTAGATCTACTTCTCTGTGGGTTTCAAACTGAACGGTGGAACGGGTATTGGCGCTCTTTGAAAATTGCCTTCCCGTTCTAATTGATAATTTGCCATGTAGATCTAGAATCTAGATCTAGATTCTAGATAGATTCTAGATTTAAGCGTGAAGATTGTGTTTTTTAAAATTATTTTTGCCTGGGTATAGATCTAGATCTAGATCTACACCTCCCCTCTCTATCAGGGGGGGGGGGGGGGGGGGGGGCTTGCCCCCTGAAACCCACCATACTGTTAAAGCTAGATCTAGATTCTAGTGCGCATTAATGCACCCGTAAACACGGGGTCCACCAACAAAGTTCAATCCGGCCAAAATAATTTTTTTACACAAAAAATACAGAAAAAATATTACTGGCTAATGTCGTAGGGTTCACCTAGACTAGATCTAGTCTATAGATCTAGATTAGATCAAGATCAAGGGCCACTTTTGTCCTTAGCATCACTTCTGTTTTTTATGTACTGTAAACAAACGGGAAGGCAATTTCCAAAGAGCCCCCTGGCATTCTTGTGCAACAAACCAACGCGCTTAATAGACTATAATCTAGATCTAGATTTGTAGATCCGACGCCTGACAGTTCATTTGCTTTTCTGTCATAATGAATAGATCTATCTCATCAGTCCTATATTTTATTCAGCTAGATCTAATATCTAGAATCTAGATCTAGATAGATGTAACCAAAAAAACTTTTATTCTGATAAAATTAAGATTATTGGAGTATGACTTCTAGATCTAGATAGGCTACACTACAAGTATCTATTCTAGATCTACCACTTCTAGATCTAGAACTAGATTAGATTCTATAGGCCATAGGCCTAGTCTGTCATTTTGCACTCACAATTCTTCTGGGAATGTTCTCGACTCTCATAAGTTTACAGACCGGGGGGGGGGGGGGGGGGGGGCGCCGCCCCCCCCCCCCCCCCCCCCCCCCCAATATGTTTGCCTTTATTTGGAGGAGCGGGGGGGGGGGGGGGGGGTTCGAGATGTATGAAAAACATCCCATCAGCATGGGAGTTGCAGCCTCTTTTGGTGTCATGGTGGGACAGCTCAGCCCGTCAGGGGAGAAGATCTAGCAGCAAAGATTCATTACTAGATCTAGATCTAGAATCTAGATATAGATTTCAATAAGATAATATAAGATAAGATAAGATACATCTTTATTGTCCAGATCCTGGCACATTGGTTTGGTGTTCCACCACGAGTACACACACACACACACACACGCAAACACACACACACACACACACACGTACACACGTGCACGCACATGCACACACAAGTAGGCTTACAATCACATACATAATATACATGAGCAGCAATATAAACAATAATAATCGTAAGCTAGATACACACTCAATGTTATTTTGATGCATTCTCTAAGGTCGTAAGTACACTAAACAAGATGGTTAAGATGGAAGCATTTTGATAGATGATGGTAAAAATGACCTTCTGTATCTTTCTTTGTTACAGCTCAGAAGCATGGGTCTTTTACTTCTGACTGATGTTTTTATTTGAGGGAACAAGGGATGTTTGTTGTCTAAAAAGATGGAATTAATTTTCTTAGTGCAAGCTGTTATGTACAATTCATCCAAGTAGGGGAAAGATGTTGAAATTTTACATGCTTTCCGTATTAGTCGATTAAATTTTTCTTTATCTTGTTGTCTTGTGTTCCCGGCCCATGCTGTTATACAAAAATTGATCATACTTTCTATGGTTGAATGGTAGAACATGGACATCAATGTTTTATCAACTTTAAAATACTTTAGCTTTCTAAGAAAAAATAGTCTTTTGTTCACTTTTTTATGCAGGAGAGAAGTGTGGACACGCCAGTTTAGTTTGTTGTCTATTGTAACACCCAAATACTTATAGTCTGACACTTGCTCGATGTTTTCACATTTCATTTTGAGTGGCTGCAGGGGCAGTTTCTTTATTCTAAAATCAACGACAAGTTCTTTTGTTTTTTTCACATTTAAAAGCAGCTTATGATTTTCACACCATTCAGAAAAATTAAGTACAAAATTCCGGTAAGCGGTTTTGTTATGGTCAGCCTGAATTAGCCCAATTATAGTTGAATCATCTGCAAATTTCAATCTAGATCTAGTAAAGAATCTTTGGTAGCAGCGCCTTTTGGTAAGACAGCTAATCTATTTATGTCCCTGGCGTGCTTAGAGGGAGGAACATACGATTCTATATTAAAATAAAGCCAGCTTCAGTTTATGTCTAGGAGAGCCTTTTTGTCTACCGGTAAATTTAGTTTGCCTTGAACTTGAACACTACACTACCATTGCCTGTCTTTGCTAAGAATGTACCGTAACCTACCCATTTACTAGTCTAAAGAGGATGTTTTCAGTGTTTTGATATTAATTTGTCCTTATTGTATAGTACGACTTTTACAACACTTGCAACTCAAGTAGGTTATAGAAGTCCCCTTTTGTTTTGGGGTGAAAATAAAATTGAAGTCTATTGCTTTTTTTTCCCTCTCAATTTTATCCCCAGGGTGTTTGCACAGTGACCACCAATGCCAGCTGTTCCATAAACGTAAGCATTTCACAATCAAGAACATTTGTCACTTTCGATATTATTATTTTTTTTCGTATTTATGGAGTCTTTGCATTTGGAATAACACATACAGTATGTGCCTTAGGTGTAGACTTAAGTTTAAGGATACGTTATTTGTCACCACATCAGCATTAATTCTGTTCTGCAACTCTGACTGAAAGTGACAAAAACGGAAAAAGTTAACATTATTGATTGTCCCTTATATTGCCTATATTGCACATGTATTGTAATTGTATGTTGTGAATATCGATTAATAGTATAAAATATTCATCCATTTCCTGCAGATTATTCGAGTTTGATTCCTTTGTGGAGAAGTCTTGTTTCATCTATTGATGTGCTTCACCACAATGCCCAAATTATTGTAAGTGGATTTTTAAGAAATAAAATTTCTCCATGTCAGAATGAACCAGACTGTGATGCTTGCGGCATGAGAGGTTCACCAGGAGCTGGCCCACGACAACTTTTCATGGACTTAGAACAAGGTAAAAATATGGGTTTCTTACATTTAAAGTAAATAAATTTGGTGTGTGTGTATCTGTGTGAGTGTTTGTTTGTGTGTATGTAAGTGTGTGTGTGTGTGTGTGTGTGTGTGTGTGTGAGGGGAGGGGGGGGGGCAAGATCTTTCACTGTGTATAAATATTTATAATATATATATAGCCATGTAACTATTCCCACCGGGGTGAAGTGAGGAAAATTATTGTAAAGCGCCTCTCCCAGGGACACAACGTCGGGACCCTGACGGGATTGAAACCCCCATCCTTACTGTTGCGAGTTTGACAGTATAACCACAGGCTATTAGGCCACCGATTTCATGCGCACTTTCATTTCTGCTCCCCATAGACGCTCATCACTTGGTCCGACGTTGTGTTCTTGGGAAAGGCACTTTACACGAATTTCCCATTTGGCTCGGTCCTTTCAGAGACTGACGTTAGACTGAGGTCCCGTCTCTAATACATGTAGTGTTGATAGGGTTATAAGCCTGTACCATTTCGTCATTTCAGATCTTCTTCGTCTTCTTCTTCTATCCCGTGGTTGGGGCAACCGTTGGGGCACCACTGCATTAGAAAACCAGCTCTCGCCATCTATTTTTCTCCTCTGCTCTCCTCAGATTGTCACCCATCGTCTTTCCTGTCCACTCTGTAATGTTGTCCTCCCATCTCCTTCTCTGCCTTCAGACGCTCACTGCAATAGCCCGCCGTACACCCTGGGAGCGCGTGGTGTCAACCTGACTATTGTTCTGGAAATGGCTCGTTCCAAACTCGTGTGGACCATGTGCCGGTCGAGCGACACAAGTCCGTCGTTGGATGTTTGTCATGGAACGTGAGTAGCGTACATCTGTCAACACTTAACGATGACTCTCCTTTGGGGAGCATGTCATCAGTGCATTCAACTATCTGCTTATGGGGCATTCAGACACTTTCGAGAAAATGTGGAGAAAAAAACGTTTTTAGTAAAAAAAAAAATTAGCCTCTTGATTTTTACAGTTTATGTCTATGTAAGTTGTCGTGAATTGTTGATGTAAAATAAAATATTAGTGCTGATTTTGAAGACTGCGCTTAGGTCAAATGCCTATAGACCAGCGTTTTCAAAATGTTGTTCCATAAGCGACTGCGGTGACGATGACGATGACGATATCAAGGAAGGAAGTCAAAGTCTGAAGGGAGGGAAGCAGTATTTGGGCAATCTACTTCCTCTATGTCTACGGCAATAATATTTTTCTAGTTCATTTCAAATTTAATTTTTCATTGTCATTGCTAGTTTCATTTCATGTACGGTTTATATCCTGTGAAAATACCCCCCCCCCTCCGGGAGCGGTGCTACTGATTGAAGTGTCTTTTGGCCATTCCCAAAGGGAGGACAATAATGTCACATTAAACATCATGTTCTTAGGCACGGTAGAATTGTAATTGTAAGCAGTTTTCTATGGTATGCCAGCTCCGCATCTCTTTCAATTGGGGTACATTATAATTTCTCAGGGTTTACTTGACTCCCTCAGTTCATCTTTTGCGTAGTCTTATAAGCCTGAGTTCCTGGTCCTAAATGACAAATGATCTAAAGTGTGCCAATGTGGGCGTAATAAAATCTTTAGGAACTGAAATCATGATGTAGATCTACTCTTCATCTACTTGCATGGTTGCAATTATTATTCTAAGTTCTGTTCGTTCATGAGGGGTTAGGCAGTACTCAGCCGCATGCTGACAAAATGCCCTTTCCTTTAGATTCACAGCAGTTTCAACAAGAATGGTGTTTTGTCTGCGTAACCCTCTAAAAAGGCGTTTTTCCGAGATTTGAATACTGATTTCTTCAAAAAGCTAGCCGTAGTTTCACTTTGATTTTTTCTCCTGCATAAGCAGGGTAGCTAATCAGACTATCGATTTAGCAAACAAACAAAAAATTGGCGCCATAAAAGAAAAAAAAAGGCGTTTTGTTAGCTTAGGGCAGCACAGGAAATATATGCCCTAGAAAGAAAACACCCCCTCCCACCACCGGCTGCAATGTAGATTTTTGTACTATCTCAGGGAATGCAGCGACAACTTCCAGATCAAAGTGTGCTCTGCCGATGTCCCACAGCTCACCCAAGAATGTTTTGATGAGTAAGTCGCATATGATCATGATGTCTGTCAATCTGTTTGTGCTTTAACCCTCTAAGTGTCGAATCTGTTAGTTTTGCTCTGGTGTCACAGAGGATTACATCTATTCAATTGCTATTTCGTCTGTATAGGTTTATGGCCTTTTTACCTGATTGATTTGCGTGTTCTCAAGCCTTTTCCAAAATAATATAGTGAAATCACATTATTTCCCCCTGAGATAACAGGCTATAATCGGCTATTGTTAGCGATACCTGAAGGGTTAATGTTCGTTTCACTCTGCATCATGCCTTTTTTACACCCGGTGCACCTCTAACCTTAGCGGTATGGGGGGGGGGGGGGAGGCGGGGGCACCGCACAGGCTAAGTGAGGAGTGAGTTCAGACTAAGAAATTATGTCAAGCAAGTGCTGTTGACTCATGGCTTAGATGGGTGGTCACGTGGGTGTATCCTTGAGCCTCACTGGAGTGTTTCCTCGAACAAGACACAACCCTAGCCCCCCCCCAAAAAAAAAAAAAAAAAAAATTTTTTTTTAAATAATAAAAAATAAACGAAAAAATTGAAAAAATTATCAAATAAACAGTGGCGGCCAGCAATGGCATGTTTGTAAAATTGTTCTGTGTTGGAGTAATATTGTGTGTTTGGTGTTTTTTTGTATGTGTATTTGTGTTTAATTATGCAGTTATGTGTTTGTTTGCCATTGAAATAATTATAACAATTCACAAGGATCAGTTAAGTGTAATTTAATTTAATTTAACCCCTCAGAGCTTATATTTTATATATTTGTATTGGCAAGAGCTCTATATATATATATATAGATTTACATATATATATATACAATCTCTTATGATCATAATAATATTATCATTATAGTTTATGACCATCATTATATTTGTTGTTATTTTTATTTGTATTATTATTATATTGTTATTATTATTTTATTTTTATTATTATTATTATCATTATTATTAATATTATTATTATTATTATTATTATTATTATAATCATTGAAATATCAAATGGTTCGCAGTAACCCCCTGCACATCCTGCGGTATGGCAAGCTGGAGGACAACAAGGTGGCCCTCGAGGTTCACCTGGACTCCATGATGAGCTGTCGCCGTTGTCTGCTCCAGCTGTCGGAGGTCACGGGCAACAACGGTACCCTGGGATAGTTTCTTCCACTGTGTAGTGGGCGCTGTGAAAGCTCGCTCTTGTTTTAGTTTTTTTTGGTTCTAGTAGAGGTTTAACGGCGCTCGCAACTGCATAAGGTCATATGAGCGCCAGAAGATTAGAGGTGTTACAAGAGAGTAACAAATATAAAACAGAAGGGAGATAAGGACGATAGATGTTTGATAGGAAAGTAGAAGCAGACCACAAAAGAGCACCCGCCAACCACCCGCTGAGTTTCAATAAGAGTTTTATGGCACTTGCAACACAATAATTAGGTCATGTGAGAGTATAAAATTAGAGGTGTTACAAATAAGCTACATGTACATAACAAGTTTCCATTTTCAGATGATATCAATAACTCCATATTTGCCCAAAACTGATGAGCACCTGTTTCCACTGCATCGAAACACGCACACACACACACACACACACACACACTCACACACACACACACACACACTCACACACACACACACACACAAACACACACACACACTCACAAACACACACACACACACACACACTCACAAACACACACACACACACACACAAACAAACACACACACTCACACATACACACACACACACACACACACATACACTCACACACACACATATATATCATATGATGATATGATATGATACATGATAATAATATGATTGTATTGATATATTTTCTAAAGTGTGTACGGTATATTATGTTTTCCTACCAATTTTTTTCTCCAAAATCTTCTCAGTGCGACGTACTGGGTGCTCCCCCCTGTCAGTGGTCTCTATACGCATGCTGCAGAAGGAACTGCAAAGTCAAGGTGAGCATGGGGGTGGTTGGCGGGTGCTCTGGTGTCCTTTGCTCCTTCTTTCCTATCATACATATATATTAATATTATATATCGTCCTTATCTCTCCTCCTTTTTGCGCTTGTTACTCTTTTGTAACGCCTCTAATCTTTGGCACTTTATTGACCTTATTGTGTGTTGCATGTGCTGTAAAACTCTAACTAAAACTAAAACAAGATGGGTCAGATGGTGGGTGGTTGGCGGGTGCTCTGGTCTGGTTTGCATCTTCTTTCCTATCCAACATCTATCGACCTTAACTCCCCTTCTTCTTTTTTATGTTTGTTACTCTCCTGTAACACCTCTAATCTTCTGGCGCTCATGTGACCTTATGAGGTTGCGAGCGCCGTAAAACCTCTACTAAAATTAAACTGAGTCAGATGAGCGTGGCGTCTTCGAGCTGACACTCTTGTGTAAGTGCGAGAAACTAAATTTTCAAAGTAGCCATAGCCTATGCCAAACGTATTATATCTGCTTCATATTGCAAGACCTATGCCTCCTGAGAATTCTGTACTATTCTCTTATCTCTCTGCCCCAGTCAAGTTATCAGAAAATGGCAGCCGTTTTATTATCAAATATTGCGAAGTTTGCCAACTGGCTGCAACCTCATGTTTGCAATCTATTTAATCAAACAGTACCAAGAACACCAAGCATCTATGTATTTTAATTAAAAGAGTACAATCACTATATCATAGATATTTATGGAGCCTATTGTTTTTTAAGACAGATCATTTTTAATCAGTATTTCATTGCCTCACTTATGATGATTTGTCGTTCAGATCAGGTTTTGTACCCTTTGGAAAATCACTTTACTACTTTACTCAAATTTTCCTCACTTCACCCAGATGTGAATAGGTACCGTACCCATAAATAGAGACAGCGAAAGGTCTTGGCAGTATGTTAGCGTTTTCTAAAGACGGACCTGTCCTGTTTTTAACTTTAACCCCTCTGTGTGTTTTAAAAAAATTGTTTAGATGTTGTAGACAGTGAAAGATCTTGTCAGTATGTTAGTGTTTTAGCGCCTATATGGCAGCTTGCTCTGTATGCTTCCCGGGAAGTTGGGGTTGTTTTAGAATGCTCTCACTCTCATGTCTGCTGGGGTAAACGTATAGATTGTGAAGCGCTTAGAGCTTGCTGTTGAGCGGGGATTTGCGCTGTACAAATGCTATCTATTATTATGTAGAGGCTCTTCTCTCCACTGTCTATAGATACACACTGCCTCCACAGACGACAAACCCTGGTCCGTCTTTGAGAACATCGCCGACACTGCTGGGACAGATCACGGGGAAGAAATGCGTCAGCTCTCACAAGAACTTTATGACGTCACTCCCAGGCCGTCAGCTGTCGGTTTGGTCAATGGCAACCTCTCTATTGAGTCACCCACTGTGTCCTCTGTCAATGGCAACCTCTCTATTGAGTCACCCACTGTGTCTTCTGTCAGTGGTAACCTCTCTATTGAGTCACCCACTGTGTCTTCTGTCAGTGGTAACCTCTCTATTGAGTCACCCACTGTGTCTTCTGTCAGTGGCAACCTCTCTATTGAGTCACCCACTGTGTCTTCTGTCAGTGGTAACCTCTCTATTGAGTCACCCACTGTGTCCTCTGTCAGTGGCAACCTCTCGATTGAGTCACCCACTGTGTCTTCCGTCAGTGGAAACCTCACTTCCAAGCCGGCCACCGTCGGTTCAGTTAGTGGCGACTCTACTAAAGATGAGGCGGGCACTCTTAGGATGGACAACGGTCAGCAAACAAGGTCACCGCATACGGGGAGAGGAAGAGCCGAAGCAGGAAATATCGACACTCTCGCTGGGCTTGCAGATGAAAAGCAAAACGGTTTGGAGAGTAGGAACGTGTCCGAAAAGATGGCGGCAGACCCTGTAGGAAATCGTAGCAGCATCATCAGGACCGAAGAAAGCAGTACCCACAAAGACAAGGTCAACGGTACCCACAAAGACAAGGTCAACAGTACCCACAAAGACAAGGCCAACAGTACCCACAAAAACAAGGTCAACGGTACCCACAAAGACAAGGTCAACGGTACCCACAAAGACAAGGTCATGGCCTCTGAGGCAACCACATCTGCGGGACATTCGGTAGATCCGGAAAAGGCTAAAATTTCGAGTGCCATCGCTCTGCTCCTTGACGCGCAATCTCATCGTTCTAGAAGTCGTGGCGACGAGAGAAAGTCTGTGGAAGGTGAGGTCCATCAAGATTTGTTCTCCAATCTGCTCAGAGAGGAAAAAGAGGAGGAGGAAGGGCAGCTAAAGACTGGAACCCATGACTTCCGTGTCAGTGGAGAAATTACGCATGGGAATCAAGAAACTCTAAACCGAAAAGATAAAGCGAGCATTATGGGCATTCCTGAAAATAGCAGTAATTCAGAAATACTTGGCCTCAATCCGGGGGAGAGGAACGGGTCAGAAACAGAAAAAAACAACCCTGTACAGGGCAATACTTCAAAAACACCAGACCAGAACACCGGAAATAGAAAGGATAACGGTTCAGAAATAAAAGGGGACATTCTTGAAGCAAACAGGGAGTTTCCTGAAACAAGCAGGGACATTTCAGAAAATGGCAGTGCTTCACAAGCACTTGGCTTCGGTACTGGGAAGATTGACGCTTCGGAGAGAAGTGAGGACACTCCAGAAAATGACCGTAACCCCCAAACTGCCATTGACCATACAAACAAGAGTGACCTTTCAGAAACGACCACGGACAGTCCGCGGAAGGGCATTGATTCACAAACATACTCTGACCATACCGTAAAAATGGAGGAGACTGAAAAAAGCACGGGCATTCTTGAAAGTGATGGAAACCAGCAAACATTTACTCACCCTAAAAATGAGAGTGACGATTTGGACAGTACAAACGTCCCTGAAACGTATGATAGTCTGCAAATATCTCGTCATACAGGAGAAAGTAGCGATTCGGGAATGAGTGATACGTTTTTAGAAAAGGGCAATAATTCAGAAGGACTCAAAGTTAAAATGACAGGGAAAAGTGAGGATTCAGATTCAGTTGGTAATGTCAGAGGTCCTACCGACGACTTCTGGCTTGACGAAGGCGCAGGGAACAGCACAGAAGAAAGCTTCTTGACCCAAAATGACACAGCCAAAAGTTCTCCTACACGGGGTGACACAGAGAGCAGATTTCTGACACAAAATGACACAGACAAAAGCTTTCTGATACTGAACGATGCTGAGAAAAGCTCTCTGACACAGAATGCTTTAGAGAAAAATTCTCTGACACAGAATGCTGTAGAGAAAAATTCTCTGACACAGAATGACGTAGAGGACGGCTTTGCGTCACAGAATGACACAACCAAAAACTTTCTGGCACAGAATGACACAGACAAAAGCTTTCTGGCACAGAATGACACACGCAGAGGTGAGTGTAGCTTATTTTTTTCTTCTCTTTTTTCTCTTCCCAGTAGGAAAACAGTGTCTGTGGTGTAGTGGCAAGGTGCTTTGCTGTCACTGGCAGGAGACTTGAGTTCGATTCTGCTGTGGGAAGAATCGGGGAGTGTGACATCTAGTTTTTCCGTTCTACTAAGCCGAAAATTTCAAAAATCTTTTTCATTGCAGTTTCCTAATCTGTGGGATTGGTTTCATATTATGTGTCATAACGCGGTGGAATCAGGCGCTCGTCCATTTTGGGCCATGGAGTTATTGGTATCATCCTAAAGGTTGTTCATTTGCTGTGCTTTTGATGAAAAAAAATATCTATGATATAAATTATCTTGGATACAAGTCAAGATATTGGCGATTGAAGGAGGTGGGGGGTCACCTAGTTTCAGAGGTAAGATTAGCGACAAAATGGCCGCCAAAGTTGTTTCATTTCCCTAGCCTTAGATTTAGATTTAGAGTCCGTAGAAACTGAAAATCTTTTATGCCTTTTATCAACGTTTTCCAATAAAGTCTACACAGTTGTTGTTATCGATCCAGACAACCACACAGAAATGTGTTCTTTAAATGGCATGAAATGTGTTGAGGCAAAAAACAACAACAAAAAACCCAAGTTTGATAAGAATTCCCCTACCTGCGGGAAAATGCCAGTTTCTTGACTTTCATTATTTTGACGAGATTCGAGCCTGATATTACCACGCTGCCTCATATAATGTTCTCTGAAAACTTGGTCAAAATTCAAATCCTGTGTATTGAAAAAAGTAACAAAAGATACAAAATTTAGATCTAGGTAAAAAAATTTTAAGAATGAAATGCAGCCGATCAGGCAGCATAATATAGAATATAGGCCACAGAGAAACGCTTTCTACTTTTCACAGTCGTGGCTTAGCCTCTTCCTTGACATTATATTCGTTACATCCTCTAGTAGGCCTACATAATGTCTTAATAAATGTCATGACGAGGTGAAAGCGGGTGCTCGTCAATGTTCAATATCTTGCTTTTGATTTTAAAAAAATTACCCATGTATCTAAATAGAAGTCGAAATATTTCTTGTGATAGAAGAAGGTGGGGTTGCCTGGTTTCAGAAAAATTAGCAAAAGAATAGCATTAGCTGTCAAAAGTTTGGTTACTTCCAATAAGTGTCCCTGGAAAAAACAAATTTACATTTTTTGGTGCCTTTTGTCATCCTTTTTCATTAAAATCCAACCAGAAATGTGTTTTTAAATGGACATAGGAGGTGCTGGACCCCCCCCCCCCCCAAAAAAAAAAAAAAAAAAAATTAATTAATTAACTAAATAAATCGATTTTAAATATGGCCAACGGACGAAAAAATGCAGGTTTCTTCAATTTTGACTAGGACCTGATTTCACCACGATGCCCCACGTATAGTGTAGAACTAGAAGATGTTCTAAGTTGTTTTTTTTCTGCCTTCTTTCTTTCTTTCTCTCTCCCGGACCACAGATCCACAGAGTGGGAACACGACGGCCTTGGTCTTTGAAGACTCTGCACCATCTCCAGATGTGAGTACCCCAGCATAAAAAGTGTGATGATACATTGTATTTTTAGTCTGTTCTGTGAGTGTGAGACAGGTGTTTTTTTCGTTGCTCACAATACAATGCATTCTTTTGTGTTGCCACATGTATCTATGTGGCAAAGGAGAGGGCTGGTGGGGCACCTAGAAATCGTGTTTGGGGGTCAAATTTTGTAAAGGGAGTGCTTATTTAGGCCACATATGGCCTAAATAAGGTAAGGGAGGGGGGTTTAGCTTATTTAGGCCACAGTGGACTGTGGCCTAAATAAGGTAAGGGAGGGGGGTTTAGCTTATTTAGGCCACACATGCTCAAACTACCCTTTTCAGGCAACTGAGTTCATTCCACTTTCATAATGGTGCACCTTTCTCATTTAGTATGGTTTTGCCTCAGTGTACAACTTATAAATCATAACCATAATGAATATTGTAAAGAACAAAGCACAATACGCAACATTTTGCTCAATTCCAATGGTTTGAATGAGGGCCGGATTTTTCCTTCATGGAGGGGCAAAAGCTAGGCTACCATTTTGGCACATTTTGGTCAAGTGAAAACGTCAAATCCTCCGAATGGACTTCCGGGTTAAATTTGGGGTTTAAAAAGTGTGTATACTACGTGGCTGAGTCAAAGTTACACTATCTTTGCCTGAGTGACACTCTCTCGTACTGTCTCGTAGTAGTACATGTAGGCTAGTAGGCCTAGTAGTAGTAGTAGCAAAGATCGTGTAGAGAATGTTTGGTAGTAGATTCTATCTAGTAGGCAGTTTAGTGAACGTGCTCGCGGCAGGGCGAATCGGCCTCGATAAGCCCCGTAGACTTTTGTGATCGGCCACGAAGCCTTGTGTTTTGATGGGTCTAGATCTAGATCTAGATCTAAACAACTCAGTGCTATTCGCACTGCCACATCCGACAGGCCTAGATCTACATCTTTTTAAAAGGAAAAGAAAGATCATCAAAATGGTTGAATTCGCGTGAAAATCGATTAGGTAGAACTAGAACTATTAAAACTTGCTTCTGAAAACAAGGCAATTTTTATACGAAGGCCATTTTTATAACTCGATGAAATAAAAACTACTGACTGTGTGCTGTGTTATTCTGTATAAAAATAAATTATGAAACTTCAGGACGTAGATCTATTATTATTTACCAGCATCTTTTGACGCCTGAGCTGTAGAGGTTGAAGTTTTCACAACACTAATAGATCTAGTAATAGGGTTAGGTAATACGGCTTTCCGTAAAAAATGCATAGATCTACAAAAGCCGACCACCGAATCGACCAGGTGCCTCAGTCTCCCCTGCACTCTGATTCAATATTTTTAAAAAAATGCTAATCAATGAAAATTGCAAATTGATAATAATAGTATAGTCCTGTAGAGGATAGGTGGACTCCGGGGTCTGCATAGCGAAATACTAGGTTTTAGGATGTGGACCCCGGAGTCACCGTAGTGAAATAAGGTTTGGTTTAAGTAAGGATTGGTACTAGGTTTTAGGACAGGTGGACCCTGGGGTCACCGCAGTGAAATAAGTAGGTTTCTTTAAAGATTGGTGGAACCCGGAGTCACCATAGCCATAGAGGATTAAGAAGGTTTAATTAAGGATTGGTGGACCCCCGGGACACCTTGATTAAACCTACTTATTTTACTACGGTGACCGCAGGATCCACCTATTCTATAACCTAACTAGTGTTTCGTTAGGTAGACCCTGGGGTCCACCTTAAACCTACCTATTTCACTACGTTGACTCCAGGGTCCACCAATCCTTAAAATTAAACCTAGATCTATCTACATGTACTTATTTCACTACATTGACCCCAGGGTCCACCAATCCTTAATTAAACCTAGATCTACTGATTTCACTACATTGACCCCGTGTTCCTCCAATCCTTAATTAAACCTATATATCTACTTATAATTTCACTACTTTGACCACGGGCTCCGCCAGTCCTATTATAAAATAAACTTAGATCTACTTATTTCATTATGTTGACCCCGGGGTCCACCGATCCTTAGTTAAACCTAGATCTACTTATTTCACTACGCTGACTCCAGGGTTCACATCCTAAAACCTAACATTTTGTTAGGTAGACCCTGGGGTCCACCTATCCTTTTGGCTAGATAGACCCCGTAGTCCGCCTATCCACTTTCTTGATAATAACTGTAAACAATACATGCCAGTTGTCATTTATAGTGAAGAAAAATGAGGGGAAAAAAATATAATTAGGTAGACTTTAATTTGTCCAAAAAATTGCAAGTGCAAAATAATTTTGTTATTTTCTGGTCACCTTTCCAAGGACCTTAAATTGATTCTACATCACATGTCATGTACGATACGGCTGTGAAGGAAAATGGATGTGAAGAGTTTTAAAGAAATAATAATGTAACTTCTAAAGAAAACAATGCTTTACATTGGTTTGGTTATTTTGACTACATATGTGGCCTAAATAAGGTAAGGGAGGGGGGTTTAGCTTATTCAGGCCACCTGTGGCCCAAATAAGGTAAGGGAGGGGGGTTTAGCTTATTTAGGCCATATGTGGCCTAAATAAGGTCACCCTTTTGTAAATTGGGTTTATTACATATTATAGTACCTGGACACTTCCTGAACAATATCCAGAAACGTATGTAAGCCTTGCTACACCCTAAAGCTGTGTTTTGTTGTCAGGTTTTTCGGCGAAAGCACATGTTGTCTAGCCTTTTCTTACCTGTATCGGCTGTTTTCTCACAATTCTATTTTTTCACATATTATCCCATTTTCTGCTCTGTTTCTTATTCAATTTTAATGTAACTTTCACAGGATACCAACAACACCTAGTTCTAAATTTTGGCTTGTTGAATTTTTGATTAATGGAGTAGTTTTTGATCTATGGGCTTAGAAAGCATGAATTTTCCTTTTTTTTTCAACATCTCAATTGTAAATGTCATAAAATAAAAACTAAAGCATATATCAAAAATTCAACCAGCCAAATTTAAGAGCTACATATGTACTGTTGGCATGCCAAATTAGAAGTGAATCGGTTCATAAATAAGGAAATAAAATGGGATTGAAAAAGGTATACAAAATCCAATATGGCCGCCGTTTCCATAGCAACCGATTCACAATATACTTTTTGAACAATTGATTTAAAATCCCCAATAACACAACATGTCCCACAGCAAATATCGGCACTCTAGGCCTTGTAATAGCCAAAATAGACCTCAGGTGCCCCACCAGTCCTTAAGGGCTTAGCGAGTGCTCTGGTATGGTTTGCTTCTTCTTTCCTAACACCCCCCCTCCCCCCTCCCCCGGGTCGGTGCTACTGACTGAAGTGTCTTTTAGGCCATTCCCAGAGGGGGGACATTTACTTATTCTTATTTCTTATGCACAGTTGAATTGTAAATAGGCTGATTCACCAATGTCATGCTCCTAACTGTGCCTGAACTGCAACAGGGATCTGCTGCTTTTTTCTTTCCTAATCCTTACTATCGTCATTTTTCCTCTACTTCCTTTGACTTTGTATGTTTGTCACACTCTTGTGACCCGCTATTTCCGAGGTGTTTTATAGTCGAAGCAGACTTTGTGCTGTTGAAGCTAGAGAGGTGAGCCCGATTCCCTCCTGTAAGGACTTTTCTGTTGTCATTCACCCCTTTACGCTCATATGTGACCTTATGCAGTTGTGAGCCCCAAAAAACTGTCCTATCAAATTATTAAACATACCAAGTGTCCGT